GCCTTGGGATGTTACAAAGTAGGACGGAATAGAGGCTTTTAAGCCTTTGTCTACGAGGGATTTGCTGTTCAAGATCGAGTTTGCAGAAGATGCAGAGTTGGTGAAGACAGCTAGTCTGCCTAGTCCTGAGTTTTTGACGTCGACGATAGCATTTTTGAATTTTGAGTTCAAGAATTTTGCGTGGGTTATTCGATCGAGATTTTTAATCGATGAGTCAGGTTTGGAGCTTTCAAGAATTACTTTAAAGATTCCATTGGTTGACTCGTCATAAAGGAGATTATTCGAGGTTTTGGAATTGAAATTTGTGTTTTTTGAGAGAGAGTTTTTTTTTTGTGCGGAGTCATTGAGGGAGTTGAGAAAGTCTTGTTCATTTTCTGAATCAGAGTGATTGTTTGGATTATATGCTTTTCTTTTTTTTGGGTTGTTTGTGTTTGTTGAAGACAATTTGATAAGGCTTTCAGCCCCCTGTAGATCGGCATTTGTATGACAAATGTCCATTTGAGAAGGGTTATGGTTTAGTGAAGGGTTTTTTCCCCACTTTCCTCATTCTCTTCTGAGAGCATAATTGGGATAAGGGCGCAAAATGCCGCCCTGATTTTTGAGAAATTCTATGATTGTTCAAATAAATGTGTGTTGGTGTTTGAGAAAAAGCATGCAGTGCCTTGGCACTTTCGTGGTTACGGCGTCCGGCCGTCGGTCACGTAGAACGTGGATCGCGTATTTCTAACCGAAATATCGATAAAAAGTTTAAATTTTTTTTTTGTAACAATAGAACAGAAAATTAAATTCGAACAAATAAACTAATTAAACACTGAAAACTTGACAGAAATACATTAAATCGCGTTAAATAAAATTTTTATTGAAAATTTGCGACTGTTATTTACGGTTGCCACGGTACTTCCTTCACTAGTCCTGCATTTTACTCAACCATCAAAGTAGCTGAGCATGCGCATTAGCCATGTGCTGTCTCTTTCTCTCGCAAAAAGTGTGCGAGTGAGATGTTACTGAAGTATATTTCTCAAGTCTTCCATGCGTGTTGTGATGAAGGGGTTATGTGTTATTGTTATTTGTTATTGTGTTAATATTTGACAATTAAATTGAAAACTAATAATTTCTTGGTAAGAAAAATCTTTTTCATGACATACATAATAAATAATATGTTTATAATTACTATGGCTCCATTATTCTTTTAATAATTACTTCAATTTATTGACACTTTAAATATTCCAATAGCATACATTATTATATACTTACACATGATTTTGGAGATACAATATCGCAATGGTAAATAAAATTTCTGAAATAAACACTGAACACTAAGATTTTTTTTGTGACATATATGTATATCGCATAACCACACATTTCATCTGTCAAAATTGAGGTCCAATGCGCATGCTCAGCTACTTTGGTAGTTGAGTACAATGCACTGAACCTGGCACTTATCGTACATGTTTTTCTGACATTTTCAAACGCAGAGATCGGTCTCCTTACTATTTCTCCGTGGGATAGCTCAATCAATTTGCAATCCACCACAAATATAATGTTACCATGGAACTTGTTCTTCTTGTCCAGGAGATTTAAAATTAAAAGCGGATTTACTATCAGCTTATGAAAACAGTAATATTGAAAATATTACATTTTAGCAATGGGTTCAAGTAGACCGCTCTAATCTTGAAACAATTATAAAATCTACAGAAGAGTTCGTTGAATATTTCGCACAAGAACAAAAAAAATTAATTTTACATGGTTTTATTGCGAAGGAACAAAACCAATTTCTTGCAGATGTTAAATCAAATTTGAATGATGGGGAATTATTAATAATTTGCGATTTTGCTGAAAATTATTCCTTTGTAGTCCAAGATTCAACTCAAAGTTATCATTGGACAAACAATCAATTAACTATTCATCCTTTCGTAGCATATTACAACAATTCAGAAAAGGAGTTAAGGCATGTTAGTTTTGTTGTAATTTCTGAAATTTTGGAACATAATACTATAACAGTACATCTATTTCAAAGAAAATTAATGACTTTTCTAAGAGAAAATTTAAAACAAGAATTAAAAAAGATTTTTTATTTTTCGGATGGATCAGCAGCTCAATATAAAAATCGCAAAAATTTTGCAAATTTAACCCATCACAATTTAGACTTCGGTTGCGATGCAGAGTGGCATTTTTTTGCGACATCACATGGCAAAGGCATAGAGATAATATAAATAGAGTAGACAAGGTATAGGCGGCTGCGTAAGAGGGAAGTGTCCTGACATAAACAGAATGGGTTGGAAAGAGAAGAAAGATTTAACACCAGTATCTGTCCTTCAATAAGCACCAGCGCAAGAGAGACACCTACTGGTGCTAAAATCGCGTTCTCTTTCTATCAAACGGACGCCTCTATACAGACCATCTCCACTCTATTTATATTATCTCTATGGGCAAAGGTCCTTGCAAGGGAGTGGGAGGTAGCCTTAAAAGAGTTGCAGCCCAAGCAAGCTTACAGCGACCCCTTGAAAACCAAATTATAAATGCCCGAGATTTATTTGAGTTCGCTCAACATTTAGAAAAAATTCATGTTGCATTCTGTACACATGAAGAATACATTGAAGAAGAAATTTTTCTAAATCCGAGGTTTGAAAAGTCGGTTACTATTCCAGGCACACAGAAGTTCCACGCATTCATTCCTGTTTCAAAAAATAAACTATTAACAAAAATTTTTTCATTTTCTACATGCCAATCCAGACCAATGAAAATTATAAAGCCTTAAACTTTTTTTATTTTTAAATAAAAACATTGGAAGAAAGCTGATTGGAATTGATTTTACATAATTCTTTACTATATAATGGACGTGAATACTGAGATGCGCGCGTCCCGCCGAGCCGCACGGGACGTTTTATTTTTTTTCTCGCAAAGTTCTTGCTGTCCCATTATGAAAATTGGAGGGGTTATTCCTGGCATCATAGGAAATATGTGGAAAAAAATTTTGTGAAATCGAAGAGGTAGTTTTTTCAAAAAATGAATTCAAAAATTTTTTTTGACTTTTTTCCGGGCAAAAAATTTTTTTTTTTCATGAACTATTTTTTTCTTAAAAAAGCATCTTTTTGTGAGAAATATATAAAAAAGTTGATCTCATTTGGATAACAAGAAAAAAAGTTACATGTTTTTTTTAAAAAAATGACATAAATTTTGAATTAGAGATATCTCAAAAAATTTTGAAAAAGTCTTTGTGGGCTTTTATTCTGTACATATAAAGGAACATATTCACAAGGTTTCAATATAATTGCTCCAATCATCAAAAATTCTTGTGATCACATCCCAAGGAATTGCTCAAGATAAAAATAAACATAAAGAAGCGTCTACAATAAGCGCGTCAGATGTGTTCGCGAACGTGTACCTAATTAGAGAGAGGGGTATAGCTGTATATCTCCATACCTCTCTGTCTCCTTAGGTACTCGATCGCGTTCACGTCCGACGCTCTTATTATAGACGCTGTTTAAAAGGAACGTCTAACAGACGTCTTTTGGGCGTTCTCTTCACATGCCTTCAGATCTTCTTAATTAGTCTCAATGACGTCATTTTCTCAAAGTCCAAAAGACATTCTTAAGGTGCTTTTATACCTCCAGTATTTTGGTCAAGCAATCGGCTGGATTGAATTTTCACGGAGAATCACTGAATTTGATTGGCTCTAAAAATATTCAATTTTCACGGTGGAAATGGCTTATTAGTCAGAGCCAATCAAATTCAGTGATACAACCGTAAAAATTCAATCTTTACCAAAATACTGGTGGTATAAAAGCACCTTTAAGGCGTTTGCACGAAGTAGTATAAGGAGACATATCACCTATGGCCGGCTATAACGGAATGTAGGCCCGTTTTCGGTATTCACAGTTCTCAAGTTTTCACCAATCTATTTATACTTGCGCCTGTAGAGGGAAACCTCGGTATTAAAATCACGTGTTTACAGAATACAGAGTTTAATACCACAATTTCCCGCGATTGGCGTAAGTGTAATTTGGTTGGTGAAAACTTGAGAACTGTGAATACTGAAAACAGGGACATCTTTTATATACAGCGATATGTCTCCTTATACTACTTCGTGGGCGCTTGTATACCTCACCGATCCCGAGTATACTTGCGTCGTGTACCATTCGAGTAAAAGAGACGGAAATATCTTTTGTCTCTTTTACTCCAATGGTACACGACAGAAGTATACTCGGGATCGGTGAGATATACAAGCGCCTTTAGGACGTCTTTTGAACAACTGTGCCCACTGGCTATATTAGTAAACGTAATTTTGTGTGTCAGCAAATAGTTCGCTGTCACAGAAAAATTTTTCTAAGCGTGTACCCTAGTAGCACGTAATATTACAGTAATATTAAAATGTCCGCCTCATGATAATATTACTGGTTAATATTACTGTAATATTATACGCTTTTTTAAAATACATAAAAATTTTATAGTTTTTTATGATAAAACAAGAAAAGATAACACAGGCACACAAAAAATAAAAAGCTGTTTGGCCGAGACACTACACTAGTCTATTTCCATGTATTTTTTCACGCTGAATTCGAATCCGAAGTCAGAATTATCAGATTGGCTTTTATTTTTGAGATAAATTCAAAAAATTGATCAGAAAAAAAAATAAAATCAAAAAGTTAAAAAATTTTTAAATGTCACTGTCATAGTGTAATTCCATGTATTTGTTTTTAACTTTTTGATTTTATTTTTCTTTCTGATCAGTTTTTTGAATTTATCTCAAAAATAAAAGCCAACCTGATAATTCTGACTTCGGATTCGGATTCAGCGTAAAAATACCACATTTTACTTTTTGTGTGCCTGTGTAATTATTAATCAGTCAAATATTTTCAAGTGGTTTTTGAAATTTTTTGTAATATTACCATGAGGCGGACATTTTAATATTACAGTATTATTACTATAATATTACGTGCTACTAGGATAGAATCTTTCACATATGACACTCATTAATTTTTATGATAAAATAAACTTACGTGCTATTTGATCTTTTGTTAAATCGTCCTGAAACAATAAAATATTTTAAGAATCAAAATTAATTTTCCTTATAGGGTCTGGAATAAATTCAAAATTCTATCTTAAAATTAAAAATTGTAATTCAATTGTATCATTTTCTTAGGGTTTCGTGGCCCAGGGCCGAAAGCGTTATAGTTTCACTTTGGCATCCGTCCGTCGTACACTAGTCTACTTCGCTTATATTTTTTAATCAATTACCTAAAATATATAAAAAAAGATATTTCACTCACTTTTTAAATTAATGTTAAATAGAGATATGTTATTTTGAGCACTTATTGTGTGCAAAATTAAAGAATTTCTGATAGGGGGCTATACTTAAATTCAGAGCCGTAATTAGAGTGGTGTTGTCGCACTGGGCGCAGGTCTTGAGAGGATCAAATTCACAAATAAATTATGCATACAAAGAAATTTTTATTTAAAAAAAATTAAAATGGAATGAAATATATATTAATTAGAAATATTGCTTTTAGTTATCGATAACACTTCATTATTATCAAATATTATGGAAGAAGAGACGTTAGACAAAGGTTATCTCATAATAAAAATTTTAATAACTATAAGACTAAATTAATCGTTGTAAGAAACCTACATTCAAGTAGCACGGAATATTGCTTGAATGTCACCGTGATATCAAGTGGGAATATCCCTGTGACATTCAGGCGATTTCCTAATGTCTGCTTCACGGGGACATTCCACGGTGATATTCCTGTGACATTCGTATGATACTGATGGAATATTCCCATGAAATTTGTGTGATATTGAGGGGATATCCCTGTGATATTGAGTGGAATATTTCTGTGATATTGAGGTAATATTCTTCTGATATTGAGGGAATATTTCAGTAATATTGATGAGATAATTTATAAAATTCTAAAAAAATGTTATATTTTTTTCTATTTATTTATTTTTTTATTTAAATATTCAAAACAAAAAATATTTTAAGATTTTATAAATTAGAGGAATATTCTCTCCATATCACAGGGATATTCCCTCAATATCACATTAATATTCCCTCAATATTACTGGAATATTCAGCTCAATATTACATGAATTTCACGGGAATATCGCTGTAAAAATAAAAATCTATTGCAATTTAATATTTATATTTATAACTTTTTGCAGAGTAAGATAATTAAATTTTTTTTCATCCATGTCCAATAAAGAAGAAAAAGGTAAATAAAATATTATACTTTTTATATTTACTTAAAGACAAGTCAAAGTCGATTTTTCCATTGAAGCTTTATGTAAATGTAAAAATTGCATCGACTTTAACCTACCCTTAACATAATATAACAAGGTTTTTGAAACTTTTTAAGAAATTATTTAATATATTTTATATTATATTTATATAATTCCAGTAGGCAAAAAACCTGTTCAAACAGTTTTATGCCAGGCAAAAAATGTTTTAGAACATGGTTTTTTCTCTCTGGGATTTTACTTTTAGAGAATACATTTTTACTTTTTGAAAGGACAACATCTGGTTTCCTAACCAGTTCTCAAAAATTTGATAATCTGTGAGCTTTTCAAATTTCCGCAAAATCTACAGTGTTATTTGTGGAAGAAGTGTCCCTACTGAAAATTCTCACATGGGATCCATTGTCTAAAACTATGAAACACCCTACTTCTATTAAAGCTGATATGTTACAAGTTTTCTATACATTAACTTTTTAAAAAAAGTAAAAATGAATGAGTTACACAACAAAGAGTGAAAAGTGCGCCAAGTAACCCCGGTCTCTCCTAATTTTAATTTCCGTTAAAATTGTTTCTACAAAGCTTTTGCTACAAATATATTAATTTTGCCCTCACAACACAAGGATATTCAGGATATCCCTGGGACGTCCTGGGGATATCCATTTGCTTTTGGCGATTCGGATATCCCTAAGATATCCTCTGGATATCCATGGACATCTCTAAGATATCCCAGGGATATCCAAACCGCCGAAAACAAATCGATATCCCCAGGACGTCCCAAGGATATCCTGAATATCCTTTTGTTGTGAGGGTGAATAAATAGCCTTGGTTTTCATGACTTGCTAAAGAATATACTAAATTTTTGTGTCATTTTTAACATTTATTGCAAAGGATTTTCTTTCCGTGTAATAAATTTTTTATTTTTGATGAAAAGAATTATTTTTTGTATTAATCTTGTAATCCAGGACAATACTTTTCAAATAGCATGTAAAATAACTTGCTAAATTTTGTTTGTCCAAAAATATCCCCAAAAAACAAAACCAGCCTCAACCTGCGTACCTCTCCTCTATTGTTTTTTTTAGTTTTTAATACCTATATTTCTATAAAATAATATTTTAATAATAAATGTTAAATTTTATTTTTTCTTAGAAGTGTGCAACAAACTCCTATAGAAATACGCATATTTCAAGTTAACGGGGAAAAGAGCTCCCCACTTAAGACCAAATTTTTCGGGTTAACAGATACAAAATTAAACATATTGTTAAAAGTCGTATATTTAAAACGTTAAAGAACATTAGTCTTATTTTTTTTAGTGGTTCATAAAATAATTACATTATTTTGTTAAGTAAGATTTTATAATAGTTTCAGTTTTTGGACATTTTTGTATAAACGACTTCGAGACCAAATTCACACTATCAGACTTGTTGATAATTCGTATTACTCGGGTAATAATAAAAGTGGGAGACCAAATCAACTTCGTGTTACGTGTAAAAAGAAATCTTACCTTTAACCCCGTAAAAGTCAAATTTATTTTAGAGTTTAATTTTTTTTGGTTAAAATTTTTTTTTTCAAAAATGCATGCACGGAAACCCGTGTAAAAATTTTTTTTTACAATTTCTTTTTTTTGCTTTAAAAATTAGTTTACTATCTGTAGAATATTATCCTACATTACTAATCGATAATTAATTAGATGTATGAATGTCTGTAGTATACATTAGCATTTCAGATGCTAACAAATGCAGTTAACGTTGAGCACGAGATCTCTCTATTCTTTCGGTTTGTCAGTATACACCCTAAAAAAAGTAATTTTCAATCTAGAGGATTCCTCTAAAATAAATGCATATTTTCCTCTTAATTTTGGTATCAAAATTATTATTCTTCATTTAAGAGGATTTTCCTCTTAAATTAAATGTTGACATCCAAACCTCGTAAAATTGTTTTTAATGTCAAAGCCATCAATAAAATATTTATAATTTCAATCAAATAATAAAATCTTTTCAGAAAATACATTTTTAAATTAAAATAAGGTAAAATTATAATAGTTCACTTCAATATAATAATAAAAATTGATTTTTAATGGGTGTTTTCGGCATTCACTCAGAGTTAACTCTAGAGTTAACAGTGGTGCTCAATGATATTATCTTTGAAAATTTATTTACCTAAATAAAATAATTGATTTTCTATTTTCATCACCCTGAGTTTGAAGTTAGTTGTCCTTGTTTGCTTACTTTTTTTTAATTTATACGCATTTTTTGTTTTTCATTTAAAAATGGAACATATTTTTGCTACCCATAAACGTGTTATTTTTTTAAAGTTTATAATTTTCAAATTTTTCATTATTTCCCTAACTGTAATTAATCTGAATTGTTTAAGAAACTAGATTATTTATTTTAATTAAAGTTGTTTTTTATAAATAAAAAGTTTAAATAATTTTTAATAAAAATAATTATTATGTTTCAATTTACACTTTTCAAAACAAACAATCCGTTCACAAATTTTGTCGGCCATTAAAGGTTAGGACTGACCCTTTTTCTTTACTCTCGCAAGAAAACAGAGTTAACTCTGGGTCATCTAGTAATAAATTTTTGGGGACTTTTATGAAATCTAGAAACAAAAAATTTTATTTTAACATTACATTACTAGAATAAAAGGCCCGTTTCACATGTTGTTACAATTGCAAACCCTGCGCCAATCAAAATGAATCGTCTATGCCAAATTGCCAATCAACAACGTTCACAACCAACAGACGAACTGAAAATCAAAATTTACATTTGAGCACCACTGCTAACTCTAGAGTTAACTCTGAGTGAATGCCGAAAACACCCAATATAACATTAACAATGTCATGTTTTTGGTTAATTGTCAACATTTTATATTGATAATTAAAATACAAAAAATAAGTTTTCATTAATCAGTTGTAATGATCAAAGAGATTTTCAGCGCAAAAATAATTTTAAAACATGATGATATGTTTAAAAGTTAACATTTTTTATAGGACAGAAAAAAATTTCATATATGAAATTATTTAACGTTTTAAAACTTTTTTAAAAAAAATAAATAAAAAGATTTAAAAAATTCGAAAGATTCAAAAATAGGGTTATAGTATTTCTATTTACCTGAGTAGTAAAATTTCACAAGAAATATCCAAATTTTTTTAAATCTAAAAATACCCGTGTGGAAAAGTGATGTGGGCCCCCAGCGGGGGCCCTTATGGATCGCCCTCATGCCATGAGGGCCGCATATGGATGATCCATAGGGGCCCCTCATGGAAACGACATGCTCATCGATGAGGGCGCCCGCATGGGCCCTTATGGGCCCTCACGTTTGCCCTCATCTTGCCCTCAAGTTTGCCATAATGTTTTTTAATCAATAATATTAATAATAAAAGTTAATTAATAATAAATAAGCTTAAGTTATGAATAAATAACATATTTATTTAATAATTATTCAATTTTAAATTAAATTCTTACTCCCCTACCGAAAGAGTGGTACTGGAATGGTACTGAATTGGACTTGGCTTGAGTTCCACTTCAGTACCACTACCTGATAACCCATAAGAAGACATTTTTAAAGTACTTTAACAATAGTTTTAAAGGTATATAAGATCAACAAACCGTCTCTCGCGAAATACGTGTAAAACAGCAAAAAAAACATAATAGTTTGTAGAAAATTTCTGTTAAGTTTGGAAATTATATTGCAATCCCTCCTTGAACAATAGACCCCTAGGTCCTTTGTTGAAGGATTAAAATTTTAACCCGAGTTTTATTGCTTAAAAAATTTGTAATTTTAATAACTCAACTTTAAAAAATATATATTCAGATTCGTTAATATTTCCAGATTATGAATATCTAAAATTTATCATAAAATAATTACATTTAAAAAAGTTATAATTTATCTCGTATACCTTAAGTTTGATAAAAAAATGGACATCATTTTTGAATTTAGCTGACAAAGGAAATATCATATGCATAATAATGTATGAAAATAATATAAATCCATGAAAAACAAATATAATATTGAAATAAATATAAAGTTTTAGTTTAAACATATTGAAAAAGCTAGTCGCTTTTCACTTTTATGAGGGTATTAACGGTAACTCGACCCTTTTCGCAGGTAAATTTCCCAGTTCCATTTCAGTACCAAAATGCACCAAATTAGTACTGAGTTGGTACTGAGCCCTCAGTTCCAATTTCCCAGTACCAATCCAGTACCACTCTTTCGGTAGGGTCAAATTGAATTTATTAATTAACGTTCTAATTAATTAACTGCCGGATATAATTAAAAGTAATAATAAATTAATTAATTAAAAAATTATAAAATAAGTAATTTATGCATACATAGAATTAATGATTAAACGCAAACCTGAGAAATAAATAAATCTAACGCATGGGGGGAATCGAACCTACGACCTACGGACTATGAGTCTAACGCTTTACCAACTACGCTACGCACGCTACTTCAAAACGAATGCTAACTTCTTGATGCTATTTAAACTTCAAAAATACCTAACAAAGAAAAGTGCTTAACATCATTTAGTTAAAGTTAAGATATTAAATTATATTTTCCAATCAAATGCAATTTATAAAATATAATTAATTATATGCTTTATGATTATTATCATGAATCATCTCAGGTGAATTTTCAAAAAAAGTGTAAATATATTTTTATTAAAAACGCGTTTTTCGTTGTTTTGAATCATTGGAAACATTCATTTTTTGTTGATAAAAAAATATTTGGTTTTTGGACTTAGAAAATTTTGCTAATCGATCATGAGGGCGATCCATGCGGGCCCCTACGGTGGCCCTCATCTATTTTGCCATAAGTGTGAGTGTTATTTTCAAAAAAGTGTAAATATATTTTTATTAAAAACGCGTTTTTCGTGGTTCTGAATCATTATAAACATTAATTTTATGGTGATAAAAAAATATTTGATTTTTGGACTTAGAAAATTTTGCTAATCGATCATGAGGGCGATCCATGCGGGGCCCCTACGGTGCCCCTCATGGATTCGCCATAAGTGTGAGTGTTATTTTCAAAAAAAGTGAAAATATATTTTAATTAAAAACGCGTTTTTCATTGTTGTGAATCATTATAAACATTAATTTTTTGGTGATAAAAAAATATTTGATTTTTGGACTTAGAAAATTTTGCTAATCGATCATGAGGGCGATCCATGCGGGGCCCCTACGGTGCCCCTCATGGATTTGCCATATGGATCAGCCCTCATGGGCCCCCGCCGGGGACCCCGAACTCTTGAGGGCAAGATCGTGGCTTTTTCCACACGGGTAGCGTTAAAAATATTCATTTAATTTGAATTTAACTATATTTTCTGTATTTTTAATAAAGCAAATCCATTTTTTTGTCCTTTTTGTTGACATTTTACCAAAAATATTAAAACTGAAAGGTTAAAAAACAACTTCACAACTATCATATCCAGGGAAAGGGATCAAACGATTACATTATTTTTTTCCGTTTCCTTTTTTTAAATCTTCTAAATTTAAAACAGAAAATCTTAATTAAAGAGGAAAATACAAAAGGAATCCTTTTGTCATTCTTCCATTAAAATGAAGAATAAAAATATTCTACATTTCAATTGAATAATCTTGTTTTAAGAGGAAATATTTAGAGGATATTAGAAGAGGAATTTTCCTCTGAATATAAGATTACTTTTTTTTGGGTGTAATTTTATTAATTGTCATTAGCAAGCACCATAAGCAACTGGTGGTAAATCGTAGTTTTAGTGTAATAGTTATTTTCAAACACATAACGTCTTCAAGGCAATAGTTAAAACACTACTTTTTTGTATCGAATACTTTAAACGTGCCTTTCTCAAAACGTGTTTTTCACGCACTGTGCAATGTAGCTCAAACAATTTTTAACCGATTTTCATAAAACTTAACAGACATCTTCTTTAACTTACTGAATATTGCATGACGAGCTGTTTCTTTTTTTAAAAAAATTTTTAAACAATTTTTTTGTAGATTGTTTATAAAAAAATTGGTTTTTTTTTAAATGGACTCAAATTTTCAAAAAAATTTTTTTTTTTAATTTTCTCTTCATGCAAATCGTATTTGTGTATTTTAACGATAAAAATTTTATATTTTGATTTTTGTTGAGATTTGTAGGCTGCACTGCGCAAAACGAAAATCTAACTTTGCAATATTTTGCAATATTTTTAATTTAAAAAATTATAATATGTAGTTTATATTGTACATTTTAAGGTATGCTTTACTTTAATTCAATAAACTTTACTACTTTTTTTCAAAAAAATCTTGAAAAAACGTGCATTTACACGAGTTTCCTCTCCTTAAAAAAGCTTTCGAAACTGATGTTCATAAAAAAATTTTATTTTTATATTTAAGAAAAAAAATTATTAAAACAAGCGGTGTACCGCAAATCCCCAAAAGTTTCACCCCCTCGGAAAATATTGGACTAAATGAAAAAATATTTTTACCAAAAATTAACATCCATGACAACGATCTATCAGTACTACAAATGCCCCAAGTTTACGCGTGATTGAAGAAAAAAATTTTTGAACCTTGATCACTTTACGTGAGATATATATATATATATGACAGCAGTATGTACAGAACACACAAATAGCGTAACTTAAGTAAAAATTATGTTTAAATGTATTAACTACAATAAATGTATAACAATATGTTTAACAAAAAACCGAGCGAGTGAGTAATAAATCGCTAGTAAAAATAATGAAGAAATTACTATAAAATAATTTTATTTAATGTAATTAACTTACCATTACCAAAATATTTTTTAAAATATTAAATTATAAATCGTTTAAGTTTTTTCTTAGGGAAATGTAAATCATCCAAAACACTGTAACGCTTAGGCAAATTTTGGCTCGGGATTAAGTATTTAAATATCTTCAAATTCTAGCCGTTTTCAGATTTCTCAAGGGCTATCCTCTTATACCATTTAATCGTCTACAACATCTCTATACTTCGCGCAGTAATTATAAACTTACACGATTTTCTATGTTTGCATCTTTAATTTATGCAATTCAACACAAAAATAAAATAGAAGCTAACATATCAGGAAAAATTATTTGTTCGACTTTAGAAGATAAGGTGATGGTAAAATAAAAAATTAAAAACTTTTTCTTTTTTTCTACCACCTTGTCTTTAAAAATTGAATAAATTAATAATTCTACATACCGTTAACCAGAGTAATTAAATCATTCCAGGGGCTATTATACCCAACGACAGTTTTTAATGAATATAATTTTTATTTTAAAATATTTAAATACGTCATTTGGTATAAATAATGTTTGAAGGAGATTTCACAATAACTTTTCAGGGTGTCTAACAAGGATTGAGAAAAAAATTCCCTGACTTTTCCCTGATTCCTCCCTGACATTTTTTGATTTTTCCCTGACTTCTCAATAACCTTATTTCTGCTTTCTTTGGACAAAAATATGGTTACTGACATATTTAACAATAAATTAATTTTTAATGGTAGTAACAAATGGTAATAAAAACCATTCAAGTTTTTTTAGATTAACAAATTTTTTAAATTCAAAAAAAATTTTAATTTTTGTAGAAATTTCCCTGACTTTTCCCTGATATTTCCCTGACCAACAAAATTCTCTGACTTTTCCCTGACCGTTAGACACCCTGCTTTAATATACATTGCTTTGGCTTGATTTGTTAAGTCAAAACGATGCGTGCAATAGTTTCCAGTTGCCGAAAATAAATTATTAATTAATTAAAGACTACTTAATTACTAACTGTAAGTAATTAAAAAAAATTAATAAAAACCGAGATAGAAACCAATTAATTAGTAATTGAGAAGCTGGATCGAAGAACCGACGCTTTGCTCGGACCGGACGCGCTTATGCCAGTCGAGAAGCAGTGTGTGGCCCAGAGGCGGTCATTGGTACCTGAAATCTACACGTGAAATTAAATATGTGTACCAAGTTTTATCTTTTTAACTCCAAAATTGTAAAAGTTAAGACGGGGGGAACGCTTTTTTCAGAAATTTCGAGTTTTTGGAATATAACTATATTAAATTCAATTTTAATCGGGTTCGCTATAATTTTCATTTAATCTACTCGCAAAAATACGTATGTATACTAAATTTAAGCATCGTAGCTCCAAAACTGTAAAAGTTAAGGGAGACAAACACTTTTTTCCGAAATTTCGAGTTTTTGTACTATAACGTGGGGACATACGTTTTACTTAACTTTTGAACGAACTGTGACACACGCAGACGAATAAGTACCCAAGTAAAGCATAAAGTACTACCAAAAGTAAATCAGTTTTTGATCAAATGCATTCTATAGTTTAGTCTAACATTTGTTTTAATCTTCACACTACTGTTTGAACACACTTTAAGAAATATATTTTAATAAACATACAAGAAAATTTTAAATATTAGAAAAATGCCCATGTGTAGCCATTTTTTCCAACTTTTGACTATACTTTAAACGGATCTTTTTCTCAGTGTATATTCAATTCAATTCCAATTGGATTCGCTATAATTTTTGTTTAATATACTCGCAAAAATACGTATGCATACTAAGTTTGAGCTCAATCGGTTAAAATGGCTAGATTTTAGAGGGGAAGACAGAATTTTGTGGACGGACATGAGTGAAACCATAAGGGTTCCGTTTCGGTTAATTGCGTGAACGGAACCCTAAAAATGATGGAAAAATAGTGCGGACAAAGTCGGAAGGAATCCAAAGCACTGCCGTACAATATGTCCAATTTTGGTAGAACCGAGAAAATCAAGAAAAACTGTTTTTACCTAGAACTTTAGTATATGTGACGTTCCATGAGGAAAGGTACTAGCTGCAAAAAAATTAAAATTGAGTTCTTGATCTCAGTCGATAGATTTTAAGTTGCTCTTTCAGGTACAAAAGTTAAAAATTGTTTATTACAATTACTTTTGTGTAATTATCAATGAAACATAGCGTTCACACCAAGTCGAACGTACGTATAAGTGGAAAATATTTTAGAAATTACGTAAATTAAATGTTTTATTTAAAATGTACTTAATTTGTAAGACTTTTTTGGAAGTTAACTTACTTTTATGAGCAGTGCAGAATGTACGTATCTCGTATACTCCGGATCAAAACTACTTAAGTTTGAGGTAACGTTTATAGAACTTGCCTGTGACAGTTTACATGAATTTCCAACAAACGAAATACAACATTGAAACGTTATTGAGAGATTAATTAATGTCTTATTATTATTTACATTTTTCTCAAAACTCACAAAAGTAGACTTAAGTGAGTTCTAAAAGTAACCTAAAACTTAAGTAGTTTTGATCCTGAGTATGCGAGATACGTACATTCTGCACTGTTCATAAAAGTTAGTTAACTTGCAAAAAATTTTCATTTATACGTACGTTCGACTTGGGGTAAGCGATAGGTATATTTTCTGTGCGTGACGCCAGCCCGAGGCAGTAGTAAAGGCGGTTCCAGAATAGGTGCAAAAGCCAAGTACAAGTGCAAGTCCAAATGCAAATCCCATGAGTGCATGTGAGATAGATAGACTACCTATCTCTTTCACACTCATGAGATTGACACTTGGACTTGCACTTGTACTTGGCTTTTGCACCTATTCTGGAACTACCTTAAGAAAACCAGCCCCTCCACTTCTAACACTATTACACTCAGCATATACGTGTGAGTCGCTCTTTTCGTGCACCTACGGGTACATAGCTTACCTTGTCTGTGCCTTCTTACTCTCTCAAACTAATGAATTCATTGGAACAGAACGCTTTACATAAAATCTTCAGATTTATTAGAATATTATGGTAATTAAAGTACATAAAACATTGTATTACTATTTCAAATATATTCATATATATTATATAAATGTAATATAAAAAATACAATTAAATACATAATTTTATTCAATAATATAATGAAGTTAATAAAATTCAATCACATAAAGATGAAGTTTAAAGCTTATTTTGCCTTTCAATTGCAAAAATACAAAAAATTCTATTTAGAGCAGAGTTCAATATGATTTTATTAATATAATTTTATCCCGGCTGAAAAAACTTGTACAAGTTCTTGTACATGTTCATTAATAACTTGTACAAGTTTTTGTACATGTTCATTAATGAACTTCTACATTTTCTTGTACATGTTCAAGTAATGTTCTTAAATAAGTTCAGCATCCGGAATTGAGACATGTTCTTGTACCAGAACTTGTACAAAATCCTGGACAAGAAAATATACTTATACAAGAAAATGTACATGTCCTTGTATACATATATTTTTTTGTGCAGGTTTAATGTACATTTTCTTGTACCAGATGTTGAACATGTTCTTGTACATGTTCATTTATGTTTTTTAAATTAAAAACTTTAAAGGCTGCGCAGTAGTTTTCTTAACCCTTTCACACTCCAGCCAAACTGAGAAATGAAAAAAAGAAATTTAAAGTGGTATTTTTGATAATTTTTATTAGTTACTGTTATTATTTATTTAGTCAGCTTTACTATTTTGTTAGTAAAGTGATTAATTAATAGTTATTACAACAAACTAATTAGTTAAACCAACTAATAAAATAGTTATGCCAACGAATAAAAATGGTAACCACAATTAATAAATTAGCAGCAGTATAGTTTACTAACTAAGAATAATCACCTCAAAAATAGTAACCCCAACTAATCTTTTTTTTCTCAGTAAATTCATCCAAGTTTTTTGAAATCGCTGTTTACAAATCCGCAGTTATTTTTTTAAATTAAAAAAACTAGATCCGGAACATTTAAAAATACCTCGATTTAATATTTTAAATGTTAAATTTAATATTTTAATTTAATAATTAAATTAATTAATGAATTTTATTTTTTAATTAATTAATTAATTTTTAATTATTTTTAAATGCAATATTCCACTACTGCGTTAAACATACATTTAAAATAGGGCGGGCTTTTCCCAGGCATGCGGAAAGATGGGAATTTCAATATTAGTTGAAAGTTCTGTCGGTAGAGGGACATTTCTTTTTTTGCTTTTGCTAGTGACCTGTCTTCTTCATAGCATACATTCACACATGCTGAATAGGTTTTTTCGCATCTTTTAACATTATTGTTGGATTTTTTGAAAATTTTGTAGAGTACTTATTCCTAATATTGCTGCACTGCACGTAGGTGTTTTGTTTTGTAGTTTTTGGTATATTACTATTTATAGACACAACCGGAATAAAATTTCCACCAACTAATTTTTTTATTTAAAATTTATTGTTTCGTCTAACGCGGATTTATGAGTTTTCGAAAAAGCGACTATTCGCTTCCATCTGATCTATCTGATTCAGAAGTAGATGGAGATTCAGATGATAAATTTACTGATCTTTAGAATCAGTCTTCATTATACAATTATCTGGACTGAGAATGTTAGAAATTTTACCACTGAACTCAGTTTTGAACGAGAACCAGAAATTGCTGTTGAAACAAATAAAAAATTTAAAGAGATAGATTACTTTAATCTTTTCTTTTATGAAAACATTCTTAAAGCCATTGTTCAGCAGAGTAATTTGCATCGAAGTCAAAAACAAGGAATTGGGAAATATGATTATGATTTGACATTTACAGAACTTCAAGCTTGGATTGGAATGATAATATTAATGGGGATACATCGTTTGCCACGAATCGAAAATTATTGGTCTACAGATCCTGCGCTTAGAGTTGACTTTATCGCTAAAATAATGCCACGTGATACATTTCGAAAGATAACTGAAATTCTCCATATTAATGATAATAATAATAATAATCTTCCAAAGACTCAGCCAAATTATGATAAACTTTTTAAACTTCGTCCTCTCATTGATCATCTTCATGAAAAAATTAAAGTGCTTTACACTCCTTCGAAAACTTTATCAGTAGATGAATCCATGTTAAAGTTTAAAGGAAGATCAAGCCTTAAACAATATATGCCACAAAAACCAATTAAAAGAAGCTATAAAGTGTGGTGTTTGGCTGATTCGAAAACATCTTATATTGCAAATTTCGAAGTTTATACTGGAAAATGCAATGATAATCAGTCAAATGACACACTTGGTGAACGGGTAGTAATTAAACTTACTCGTGAACTTCAAGGAACCTTTTCATTGGTTGCTTATGACAACTTTTTTACATCAGTAAATCTTGTTGAGGAACTCCGTAATACAGGGATTTATTCTGTTGGCACTGTCCGAACAAATAGAAAAGGATTGCCGGAAATGATGAAAGAAAAAAAGTTACAACGAAGGGAATATGAATTTAAGACGACTAACAATGTCACAGCTATAAAGTGGATGTATTCAAAAATTGTTACAGTTCTTTCGTCAGCTCATAATCCTCTAACCATTTCGACTGTTAAAAGAACTCTTAAAACTGGAGAAAAAATTGTTGTGTCCTGTCAAATAGCTGTAGCAGTTTACAATAGCATAATGGGTGGTGTTGTCGGATTTGATCAAAGAAAATAAGTTTAAAGCATAGGAAGACGTTCAAATAAATGGTGGCATCAAGTTTATTACTTCCTAGTTGACTTAGCTATTGTGAATGCTTACATGCTATACACAATTGATAAGAAAAGCAAAATTGATCAATTAGATTTTCGACTTCTTTTAGCTAAACAACTAATTACAAAGCATTCAGAAAAGAAAAAAAAAGCGGCAAATATTCCATCTTCGAGCCAGAAAAGAAAAAGTTTTGATTCCACTTCAGAAGATGTTAGAAACCATATGCCAGACTTTATTGAGAATCGTCGACGTTTCGTGTTTTGTAGCACAAAAGTTTCAGAAAAGCGAACGAATATTTTATGCGTGGAATGTAATGTTTCATTGTGCGTCAAAGAATGTTTTCAAAAATATGATGGGAAGTAAATAGTTAAAAAAATAAACTATACTCTTAAAAATGATAAGTAGAGTTTAGTACAGTGTTTATGTAGGCCTCTAGGCTTGGATTCACTTTAACAAAAAACTACGAAGCACTTTTTGCGGAACCTCAAGGGTAGGATGGAAAACCGTTCCACACATCAAAAAAGGTAAACCTCCATTGCATTTAAACAGAAATTATACTTTTATCATTTCCAAGGGAATATAAACGATTTTTCAGTTCTTTTTCCGCCATAATGGATCCGCCATTTTGAATTTTTGAAAACTAACACCGAATTCGTAATCAGCGACCCAAAAACCTCAGAGTAACAAGTTTCAGGCGAATGTAAACGATTTTTTAATTTTTTTGTCTGCCATATTGGATCCGCCATTTTCAATTTTGAAAAATGGACACCGGATTTCGTAATCAACGACCCCAAAAACCCCGAGTAACAAGTTTCAGGGGAATCTAAATGAATTTTTAATTTTTTTTGTCCGCCATATTGGATCCGCCATTTTGAATTTTTGAAAACTAACGCCGAATTCGTAATCAGCGACCCCAGAAACCCCCGAGTAACAAGTTTCAGGGGAATCTAAATGGATTTTTAATTTTTGTCCGACATATTGGATACGACATTTTGAATTTTTAAAAACTAACGCCGGGTACGTAATCAGCGACACCAAAAACCCCAAGTAACAAATTTTAGGTGTATCCAAGATATTTTGAAAATTCGCATTTTTTAATGATTATTTATATTATGGCCTACGCAGTTATCCACAAAAAGAACTTGATTTTTATTTTCAACATTTGATAAATATGAATGAAGCATGCTTATAACTGCGTTAGCACCCTTTCTTACATTATCGCTCTCATCCACAAGAAAATTAGTTTGCACGTGTATCCTTCTGTTATTTATGCCAAAAATACTACATTTTCTGTTTGATTTAAAATACAAGGAACCCACTTGTTGAGAGCTGCTTGGATACGACACATTTTGTGCGTAATCAAACGAAAGGACTGTCGTCGTAGATGGTTCATTATTTTCAACTTCTTTTATCCAAACATTATAAAACTCTCTTTGAAGATTCGCTGTTTTCAAATGATTCTTAGCTGCTTCTAAGATTTTTTCTTGTTCATCAGTTGAAAGTTCGTGCATTTTCGCCAATTTCAAATGATTTTGACGACAAGTGTCACACAAATTAGTTGCAGGTTTCATTGTCATTATCTCCGGGCAGTATTTGTCCCAAATATTATAGAATGAAGTCTGCGAAACGACACGAAAGTTTTCATCACCATCCACTGCATCTACAAATTTCCTATAAATTGAAAGTTTTGTGTCGCAAGATGGCAATTTGACTACTTTGTCAAAATTCCTAACTTGTGGAAGACAACCAGGGAGAGGAATTGAAACTTTTTCGGCATAAGCTTTTATAAACGTTACAACATCTTGTAAGTCTTCTGGTGTTAATAAATTTTTATTTGCCGAAGCTTTGCCTGTCAATTTATGCTTTCTTAATACCAGTCCATTTTCATTATAATGTTGTACGATACTTTTATATCTTTTTATCGTTAAATTGTGTAAAAATAAATACATTCTTTAACAAGCAATGATATTTGCAAAGAAGTATGATACACATCGACGATTTGTAGTTTCTTATTGATCCCTAGTGTCCTTCACATTTGTTCGCTGATATTCTTCTTCAAAAGCAGGTAAATAACGGTGTTATTCCAAATGCGCACAAATCACAATATCTTTCTCTTTCTTTAGATAAATCCATAAAGTTTAATCTGTAAAAATAAATTTTCATATCATAAAGAACCACCTTTTTGTCCAGAAAATGTTTCCATCGTTTTAATTATTAAAAAATAATCGAATTAAATGATTATAAGTAATTGAACCTTTGCAGCAAGCTAACTTGGATTGATATTTTGCTCTTGTATTTGGAAGAACAACAATCCTTTTCGTAAAACGAGTTGACGTACCTTTCATCATTTTTATCTTCCTCTCTATTCTGTATGAAATGTGAATCTGAAACATATTCGTCCTGTTAAATGAAAAAAATTTTAATTTAAAGTATTATAAATTAAAATAATTTATAATAATCAGCTTGATTAAAAATTTAATAAATTATTGTTTAAATATATTAAATTTAATGATAAATATAATTAATAAAAATTGAAATTCAATTTAATTAAATTTTGGAAAAATTCAATTTAAGGGTGGTACATGTCAGAAAAATTAAGAAAATTGAGACGTTTTTCTTTTTCTTTAAAAAAATTGCGACTTTTTTTGACATTTTTTTTCAAGTATTGTAAGAAAATATCACATTTTTTAGCATAAAATGCAACTTATTTCAATTTTTATAGTGCAAAAAATAACAATAAACAAATCTTTCAAAAATTATTTTTGAATCATTTTGTAAGATAATTAAATTTTTCAAATATATAATAAAAATCTTTTTCAATAATTGAAATTTTGTACAATTTAATTTAAAATAATTAATTTTTTTCAAGTATTTTGTTACAATTTTTGAAAATCAACTTTTGAAGAATTTTAATTGCGAATATTGAAAATACAGTGGAATTCGCTTATAACGATTACGGATATAACGAGAAGTCGGTTATAACGAGTAAATTTTTTACATTTGGTTGGTCTCAATGTTAATTAAACGTACATAGAAAAAACTCTATGGCTGTAAGATCCATAAATGTACAATATAATATCTGGTTGTGGCAAACAGATTGATATTTGTACAATGAATTGTTGTAGGTATCTAATAATAATGTTATACCAACCACACAGTGCAGTTACCACAATAATGTTATATAAGTTAACGAAACCATGATGTGGTTGAGACAACCACATAGAGTTGTTAGAACAGCAATACTGTAGAGGCTGTTAGAAACACAATGTGGTTGTGGCAACCACATTGAGTTCTTGGAACAGCAATACTGTAGAGGTTGTTTGAAACATAATGTGGTTGTGGCAACCACATAGAGTTGTTGAAATATCAATAGTGTAGAGGTTGTTCGAAACATAATCTGATTGTAGCAACAACACCATGAAGTTGACGCAGTAATATCCTCGAGGTTATGGAAAATATCATGTGGTTGTGGCAACCACATAGTTTATGTGAGTTAATATAGGATGTCATTGTCTTGGAAATATCATAAATGTTACCAGAAACTTGAAAGAAGTTATCACAACTATATTTCAAGTCAACTCAAATATAATTACTGTTAGTAAATTTTTTTTTAAATTTTAGGATTGGAAAAATACTAATAAAATAAATATTTAATTATTTAATCATTTTATTAACAATCGTAAAAGGCCATTTCCTTTATATATAAAAAGGGAAAAAATCATTAATTTTAACTTTACATATATACTTTAGCTCAATGTTTACATCTCTTTATATAGAATATTAAATTTTATGTTTTACAAATTGCATATAAGGTACCGTTGCCAATTTGATGTAGGATGACAGGAAATGGAGTAACTAAATCTTTTAAAAGAATACATTCAAAAATTTCTGTCCATCCTACTTTATAAGCGTGATATAAATCATCAAAACCATATCTTAATCAACGCTTATAAACTAAACAAATGTCACCATTCTCATTCTGAACAATATTTTGAATGTATCCTGGCGGATTGGTTCAAGCGTATTTTGACCGATTTCGGTCAGAAATCGCTTAATTTCGCTTAAATTCGCTTAGAGTGAAAATTTATCGATAAATTGTTAAAAAAAATGATATAAAAGTGAAAAATAAAGATAAATTAAGGTTTTTGTAGATGATTTGTGGAAAAATTGTTATAAATTAAACATTAAATAAAAAGTTATTGATATTTAAAGTGATGTCGATAAAGTGTCAGTTAAAGTGTGTTTTTTTTATTAATTTTGAAGAAAAATATGTGAAATGTGATAAAAATGATAATTTTTGGCAATAAATTATTACTTATAATATTAATTGTAGTAATTTTCGCCCTTATTTAGTGTTAAAAAAGCTTATAATTGTTTAATTTTCCATAGTATATTTTACAATGTGTGATTTTACCGGTTACCCTGGCGGATTGGGAAAACCGAGTTGTAACCGAATTGGGTAACGATTCGGTTACGTTTCGGTTCATTGTAAAATATTATCGTTAATCGACGAAATATGTAGTAAATAACTATTAGGAATGGTTAATATACATTTAGAGTGCTTATTTATGCAATAATAATAATAAATTAAGATATAATTAATTTATAATAAGTGTTTTAAGTGTACAGTGCTGTAATACGCGCGTTGAACCCTAGATGGCGTTAAGGATGACTTTGTGAATGAATTTCTAAAATTAAGCCCTTGAGTGTCAAATATGTAAGTGAATATATAAGTTTTAAAAAAATAGATCAATTTATTAAAACAACTTTTTTGATTTGTACAAATATAAAAAAAAAATTTATAACGAACAAAAATTTTTTTAATGAGAAAAAGTTTTTTTTGTGTCAAAATTAATCTTTCTCGTTCATTAATTAATCGTTCATTAATTTTCAATAGGTAAAAACATTTTTTTTTATTAAAAAAAACGGAAAAGTTGTGTTTTAATTTTTTAAAAATTATTAAT